TGCTGGTTTAAATAGGTCAATGCTAGTAATCTAGTAATGAATGGATTATCCTGTCGGAATAATTAAAAAACAGCATCAATTTTTTAAAGCCATTAAAAATAATTTTTGGGGTAATTTTTATTTGTAATTTGTATTAAATGACTTTTTTTTATCTGTTTTCACTTTGGTCAATGCTAGTTCTATCCTTTGCTTGCTGATGCTGATCCAAGTAATGCTTTTTTTTTAAATGCTGATGCTGATGCTAGTTTATCCTGTTCTTATGCTGATCCTGATGCTGGTTTATGTAACAAAATTAGTTCCCTGCACTGTATTGTTATGAATAAAAAAATAAAAAGAAAAAACCAAAAAAATTCTAGTGTTGTTGTTTTTTTTTCCCCTATATACATACAACAAAACCTTATATAAAAATAACAGAGCGCTCTATATACACTAGCTTTGTCATGATGACGTCACAATCACGGATTTGAATCCTGCCAAGTAATACCTGTGTAGTAGCATAAAAAACTGGGTTATGTTTGATGCACACCCCCCTAATTTTTTGCACACGGTCCTTACAGGTAAAAAAAGGTAGGTCAAAGGTGCACACGGCTCACAGCAGGTATATAAAGGGGAGCTGGGAGACCCTCACTCATTATTTAGCCATCATGTCTTTTGTGTGGAGAATTTCTAGGTTTGATTAAAAAAACAATTGCTATACTGAATGAGAAGCAAAAGAGATCATAAATACGTGGCTAAACGATGGGGAGAAGTTTTTGTTGGGTTTGGGGGATGTGTAAATTGAAAACCTATGCCACCTGGATGGTAGAGCCCCCCTTTCCCATGGAGTTTGGGTTGTGCTGGTCCCTGAAATATTTCATCTGGAAGAAAGGAATTAGAACTACCCCTCCCGATGGGTGAAAATACCGGGAAACGACCTTTGAAAAATGTTATGTGTCCAAAAAGACTGGAGGAAAATGGAAATGGGGACAATGCCGGCATATGTGTTGTGAAAAGTGTGTGAAGAAACTCTTTGAGACTTCCTACAAGAAATGCCCCTTATGCCGATATGAAGGACAATAAAATTCTTTTTTTTGTATTTTTACTTGAATAAAAATTTGTGTGTTTTTTTTATTTCTTTCTTGTTTTGTTGTTTGTTTTAAAAATAAAATATAATTTAAAAAATAAAAATTTAAAAAATAAAATAGATGAAAGGTTTTATCAAGAGGTATATAACAAAACCCTCTCTCATTCTGAAAAAGGACACTGAACAAGTCAGACGTGTTTTTTTGTTTTTCCCCAAAGATGCAGTATCGTTGGTATTGTGAGAGTCCCATTAGTCAGTGTATGTACATGCAAGGAGGGTGGATGAAAACTAAAATAGGAGCCATCATGGATTTCTTTGAAAATCATCCAGGCTATTACCTGGAGAATGTGTGGTTGGAAAAAAGAATGAAAATTCCCTATCCTCTAACAGGATCTAGAGTGAGGGTGAAAATCAACCAACATTATCAGCAATTCAAATGGGTTACTTGTACTCAAAGGAATCGACTGACACCCATCAACACCATTCAGAATGAAAGTTCATGGTACTCGGACATTGGAGATTGTCTGAAATATTATTTCAAGATGGAGAAAAAAGGACTGATGTTTTCACCTCATTATTGTCCTACAGAGTACTTGTATTGTCGCATCCCCTTTTCCCAGATTAAAGACTCGGTGGAAAAGAAAGGACATTTGTTGACTCGAGTGATTGAGGACCGATCATCAGAAGAAGAAGAAGAAGAAGAAATAGATGTGTAAATTTTTTGAATAAATGTTTTGAATTTTTTTTAAAAAAAGTGTTGTTATAAATACAAAGGTCTTAAGGTCTAGAGTCTCAGTCTTAGATTGAACATGGGCGAGAGCAGTGGGTTTTACATGACTTTACCCAGTGATGGGTCTATGGCCTCTTTTTCTAGCAATACGACTGCTCAATTTAAAACCTTATTACCACAATCCCTAGATTTAACCGACGGAGAATGGGAAGTGGCTTTAACAGAAATGATGTATCCCAATTCATTGAAAAACATTACAGAAAAGGAGGCTTATTTTGACATCCTGGTTCCTCAGTCTTATGCTCGCCATATCAAAAACACCAATGTTTATGGCAGATTTAAAATGAAAACCTTAGACCCAATGCCATTACGTCAATGTCCTGTACTGCTCGATTGGGCCCATACTAAACGACCTGCACTCGTTGAACTAGACAGCAAGATGGAAATTAGACGAATTCACTTCAGACCCGGGCCTTACACTCACCCCAAGGCCTTAACAGAGGAAATAAGTCTAGGACTAGAGAGATCATTGAAAAAAATATGGAAAACCCTTGGTGATGGAAATGAAGAAAAATCTATGAAATTAGTATATTACGAGACCTATGATCGAGTGATGTATCAAATCAATGCAAAAATGCTTAGTCCCTTATGCATTCGTTTCCCCACATCCCTAGCTTATAAGCTAGGCATGGACGGTCATAAGGTCATTCTTCAGAACGATACAGAAAACATGACCAAATGGATCAACATTAGTTACTTGGGAAACAGTACTGTGGATTTATATGAAAATCTGAAATCCATGTATGTCTATTGTGACTTGATTCAACCCCAGACGGTAGGCTCCAATGCCTTGAAACTCTTAAGAGTGGTGCCTTGTACATTTCATTTGGAGGATTCAAAACAAGCCAAATGGGAACCCATTCGAGCGGAATATTTGAAACTAAGTAAAAAACATTTGGAGTACCCATTGAGATTCACATCATGACTCCTTTAGGGACTCCCATGCCCTTTGTAAGTGGTAAATCAGTGGTGAAACTTCATTTCAGAAAAGTCTACTGAGATGAATGTACCGTTATTGTGTTCCATCTTATTGGGCGTGGTGGCTTGTCTGGTCTGCTGTCTGTATTGTATTCAGCCGTAAAAAGGGTATAAAAGGAAGTCCCCCGAGGATATAAAGGTCAGTTGAACAAGCGACATGAACCATGCAGTATCATCCCGGATTACTGAGACAAAGAGGACACAGTTGGACTTATCATAAAGGTTTATTACGTCAAAAAGGCGGAGCAGTAGGTTCTATCATCTCTGGATTGGTGGGAGCCCTTCCCTTGGATAATTTTTCACCCGGACTTCCTGCTACTCAATTACTCAAATTGGGTAGGCTTTTAACTCACATGAAACCTCAAAAAGGAGGAAATTTTTTAAACTTCCTCTCGGCAGCAGTCCCTAACATACCCCTACCGGGCATAGGCTCAGGTTTGACTCTCAAAGAAGCGACCAAGTTAGCCATGGGGCCACAAAAAGGTCGAGGATTTGTCAAAGATTTACTCAAACATGGGAAACAACAAGCCATCATGGCCGGAGTGAAGATAGGCAGGGATGTAGTGGGAAAAAGAAAAAACATCCGAAATGCTCTTTTAACCCACGGACTCAATGCGGCCAAAAATACAGGTCTATTTGCTTTCAATCGAGGAGTCTCTTTACCCTTTAGAAAGAAGAAGAAGAAGAAAGGACAAACAGGTCAAGGAAGAAGAAGAAGAAAAAGAAGAAAGCAGACAGGGAGAGGAAGAATCCTGTTAGCCCGAGGGGGTCCTAAGAGAAAAAGGAAAAAACAAGGAGGAGGAATTCCTAAAAGAAAACGTCATTTAGATGTGTTTGACTGAGAGAGAGAGTATAAATAGGACAGTCCAGGGAACAGAAGGTTCATTTGTGAAAACTGAATCCTAGTAGACACATCATGTTACAGCCCGATTCTTGTGCGTGTGGGATGAACAATTTACAATTGTTTCAAGTCCCTCCGACTAATATTGCTTTAGAAGACTCGAAATGGGAAGAATATTACCCCATTTCCAGTACTTTAGATTCCGACACCGCTCCCATCGAATTTGAAATCAAAGGACAAGGAGATCACTATCTGGATTTATCTCAAACTTATGTTCAAATGGTATGTAAATTTACCAAAGACGATGGAAGTAATCTGACTGGGGCAAACAGCACTTCCAGTCCCGTGAATAATATCTTACATTCCATGTTTACGGAAATCGATGTCAGTCTGAATGGAAAAATAGTGACTCCAGGGACGGATACCTATCCTTACAAAGCTTATCTGGAGAAATTATTGTCTTACCGACCCAGAACTTTAAAGACACAGACGAGGGCCTGTAGTCTGTGGGAAAAAGATACGGCAGGACACATGGACGAAGTGGGGTTAGAGGCTCTTGGTGTAGCTCAAAATAAAACCTTTGACGTAACTCCGGGTCAAGATGGTGGGGCCGCCACGGTGACCATTAACCAACCCATCCTCACAGCGTTACCGGCTAATTCTAAAAACGAAGGATTCCGAAAAAGACACCAAGCTATTGCTGACAGTAAGAAAATCAGTTTGCTGGATACTTTACATTTGGATTTGTTTCAACAAGATCGATTTCTGCCCAATGGAGTGGACGTCCGTTTGCGATTTAATCGAGCTAGACCCTCTTTCTACATGATGATCAAAGGAGGAAGTACAGGAAAAGTGAAAATATTGAGTATGATCTTGTGGGTGAGAAAAGTCAAACCCACAGCAGTCATGATGAATACCATTAATCAGAGTTTGAATACCCACAGAGCCAAATATCCCTTGAGAAGAGTGGAAGTGAAAACCTTTACCATCCCCATAGGGACCCAGTCTAAGATAACGGATCATCTGTTTCAAGGTCAGATGCCTAAACGTCTCATTTTAGGCTTTGTGGAGAATGCGGCCTTTAACGGAGAATGATTCAAAAATCCCTTTCATTTCCAAAACTTTGGGATCAAGAAATTAGATGTCAGTATCAACGGAGAGACCATGAGTACTCGTTGTTTTGAGCCTAATTTCAACGACGATTTATATCTGAGATCATATCTCAGTCTGTATCAAGCTCTGGGGAAATTAGGAGAAGATTGGGCTCCAGACATCACCCTAGAAGAGTATAAAAGCGGCTACACTCTATGGGGCTGGGATTTCACTAAAGATCAAGAAGCGCAGTCGGATAAATTCCACATCATAGAAACAGGAAATCTGAGAGTAGAAGTGCAGTTTACCAACAATACGGTTAACACCATCAATTGTGTGGTGTATGCCGAATTCGATAACCTATTAGAAATTAACAAACAGAGAGAGGTGAGCATTGATTACTAAAAAAAAAAAAATGGATACGGGACAATTGAGAGAAGTCTTATCCAGAGAATTCAAGAGTTCTTTTGGAGGCGTGTATCCTGTAGATTTATTACCGGATCAATTAAGACCTGGAGAAAAAGCTGTGGTGGTCAATACGGATCCTCAAGATCGACCTGGAGAACATTGGGTGTGTCTATATGTGAGCAATCCCGTGGTGGAATATTTCGATTCTTATGGATTTCCTCCCTTACAAAAAGAAATTCAAGATTTTATCCAGCGTCATGCTCAACAATGGATTTATAATCCGTATCGCTATCAAGACTGGAATACCGATGTGTGTGGACAATATTGCGTGTATTATTTACATCAAAGAGACAAGAAAAGAAAGAAAACCGACGAGTGGCTATTCCCCTTTGACCAGAGTACGGCTTTACAAAGGGACAGATACGTAGCGAATTGGTTTAAAAACACTTATCATAAATTACCTACGGGTCATGGACAAAAATGTCAATGTTTTTATCAAAATGTATTGTAAATGCATTGTTGTTTGTTGTTTGTTGTTACAAAATAAAGAATGAAAAATCAAAATCTGTGTTCTTTGTTTTGTGTTATTGTTTTCAGAAAATCCAGTTTGAACTGGTTTTAGGCTAGACTGAGCTTTTGACTGTGAAGCGTGACGTCATAATCTTGAATCGGTGCCAAGTATTTACCTATGTAGTCAGCATAAAAAAAAACGTAGGTCAAACGCATGTTTTGCACACGGCCCTTATCTTTTGCAAAGGTGTGAGGGGGTATAAAAACAAGGTGTTAAAGACGATCCTCCTCAGTTGGTGGGGCATGTGGTTGAGTAAACGACAGTTTGGCAAGCGAATTCCTAGAATATTAGAAGACATGGAGATGGATAAAGATAAATTTGCCTTATTAGAAAAGAGAATGACGGAACCTATGGAGGGGGATCACGAAGCTCCTCAAACAAAAAGAAGAATAGAGTTGAAAACCCTGGATCCGGAACCTAAGAATGAATATATACCCCTGCATGAGCCTATCAATGATCCTAAATGTCCAGACAGATTTTACAGGACAGCCATTAATTGGACTTTCACCATTAAAGAGCCTAAAGAAGAAGAAGATATAGACATGTTTCTGAGCAACCAAGATGATTTCTTCTTCGGTTTCCAGTATTTGATTATACAAAAGGAAAGACATCCCTGGACAGGAGAACTGCATCAAATCAGGGGATTCATTCAAATGAAGGAACCAGAAGGAGGACTGACTATGTGCAGACTTCATATCACTGCTGATTTTGCCATGTCTCACAGTACTCCAGAATTGGAAAGTATGTTTTACAAACAAGGAGGTGACTATGAAGAATATGGGGTTCTGAAACCTGAGGAGAGAAATAAGGAATTGGAGCCCAGAGATTGGATAGAATGGGAGATAGGAGCTTGGAAGAAACCTGAAGCTATTGAAGCCAGAGAAGCTAGGAAGAAAAAGTTCTTAGAGAATGTGAGCTGGTCAAGATGTGAATAAAAAAAAAAGATTGAACTGTTATTTATTGTTAGATCTCAATAAAAAAGAAAAGAAAAAAAAAATTGTGGGTTTTTTGTCATTTTTTAAAAAAAAAAAAAGGTTATCTCCCTTTAACCATAGATTTTTTCAAAACACCAAAACAAAAAGTGTTGAGGGGTTTTTAAAGATTGGTAAAAATAAATACAATTTTAAAAAAGGTATAAATAGTAAACATGGTATAAAACACACCTCAGTTGTGGACTGGTTTCATTATGGGTAACACCTCCAGTAAAGAAATGAGTCAGAACACTAGATTAAAGGAAACTGAATGGTTACTTATACAGGAGGGAGGAAAAGATATCATACCACCTCCCTTGATGGTAGAACATCCTGCAGAATTTATACCACCTCCCTTGATGGAAGAACATCCTGTAGAATATAAACCTCAGGAGGAGGAAAAAGAAAACATAAGACCAAACAAACTCTTGGAGGATATTAAGGCTCATTATCAAAATAAACAGAAAGAAAATACAGGCAATGGATATATTGCTTACTTAAAACAAGACAGAGGTAGAATAGCCAATAATTGGATATTTAATTTAACTGGGTGCCGACAGGAAGATGTAGATCAAATCATTGGAAGTGATTATCAATACTTGATCTTACAAAAAGAAAGGCATCCAGAAACTGGACAACTTCATCATGTGAGAGGATTCATTCAAATGAAAAACAGAGTTCAAGGGAGATACATGTACAGAAAGATTCATAAATTAACCTGTTTTGAGATGTCTTACAGCACCCCAGAATTGGAAAGAACTTTTTATAGACAAGGTGACTATGAAGAATATGGAGTTCTAAAACCTGATGTGAGAAACAAAGAATTAGTTCCAAGAGATTGTAGATTTACCTGAATAAAAAAATATTTGAAATCTTGTTTTATTGTGCTGTTGTTGTTGTTGATCTATAAAAACAAGGGTGTTTTAAAAAATAGATTCATTTTACATCATGAGTCTCCAGGAGATACAAGGTGATTTACTCAACTGTGAGGTAGAAGCTATTGTTCATCAATGTAATTGTTTAACTGTAAAAGCTCATGGATTGAGTCAAAGTATTGCAGAGAAATTCCCACAAGCCAATCTCTATGCCACTCGCAGACCTCTAGGGACTAGAAATTTAGCCGTAGAAGAAGATAGAGGAATTCCAGGCACTATTAAGGTGTTTCCCTCACAAACCCCTGTGGTCATTTGTTTATTAGCTCAATGGGATTATGGAAAAGCAAGTCACCGACCTAAAAGAATTTCCACTTATCAGGATACCCCACAAAACAGAGAGCAATGGTTTCAATCTTGTTTACAAGAAATGGGGGAAAGTTTACCTTACCAGACTTATGCTTTTCCTTACAAGATTGGGTGTGGACTAGCCCAAGGAAATTGGATTCATTATAGACATTATATTGAACAATTTGTACACACTTATGAAAAACATGTGTACATTCTTCATCATCATCATTAATTGTGTATTTTCATGTGATGTAAAATAAAGAAGAAAAAAAGTACCTTTTTATCTGTCATACTCTAATGTCTGTTTTAAACAGGAGATGAAGGTCCACCGCAATCCCCATGCACTCATAAGCAGATCTCTGGTGGGGGGTCAGTAGAAACACTCAAGTAGTTTTTTTTTCTTTTCCCCTGTGATATAATGTCAAATATTTTAATGGAAAATTCAGAAATTTATCAGTAATTGGAGTCAAAACTTGCTATCTTTATGGTATTGATTTCCATTATCAGATTTATTTATTTTTTATTCCATTTTAAAAATATAAACATTTTAAATAATTATCTTAGTAATAATAATGAAATAAATTAAAATGATATCTCATTGAAACTTTTTTTAGATTCAAGTTTTGTTTTTATGTTAGTTATTTCACTGTGTATTTTCCCAAAGGAAGACCAACAGCCAGCACGCTTCACTTCACTTAGAGAATGGATTGGTTAGGAACAAAACATATCTTCCAGGTTTGAGGACTGTATAGAAAAATAAAACCCATTTTTTGTTATTAAATTACATGAGACAATGCCTCTTATAAATGTAATGCAAAAATAATATCTCTTATATATATGGATTCCTATACTATAATTATATTAAATGTCATTTGTAAAATGTATTATTTTTAAAGACAGATTTTATTTAGGATTGACTTTTAAAATGATGACATGAATAGCAGGCCATACTTTCAGCACATGACAAAAACATTCTCTCAAATTACACAGAAATGGATTATTTAGCATAGCTGACATTAAACATATAGGTGAGGGATAACATAATCACAATTATAAACAATGTGAAACAACTTTAAACGACCTACAAGGTAGATTACAAGCCTTTTTCACTGGGGTAAAATCTCGCCGAAATTCGCTATGGCCGCCGAACCCGAACCCGACTGTATAAAGATGAAGTCATAAAAATAACATAACACTGATGTAGTATTACATGATTTTTTTTTATTTTATTTCTTAAAAACTAACAATGCTTCTAACTGTCGAATTCTCCTGCGAAATCGTATTCGATCCGCTACTAATTGCATCCAGGGACTTCTCCGGTCTTCGGGGGGTAATTCGTAGATTTGATTGAGGCTGGTATTAAAAGTCACGGATTTCCTAGCCTGTGTGAAATTTCCAGGTATTTCATTCCGTATTGAATACATACTTTCTTCATCGCATCTATGTCCTGCCACAGTAAAATCACTTTGCCCGCTTGGGGATGGGTCAGGAAACTGTAAGGCTTTCCGAAATAACGGGTCAGGTTCAGTCCGTACCATTTCTGGGACAGAATTGTTTTCATATGTCGACATAGAAAATGTATGGTAGCTAGTCTCCCCATACGACCCCCCTGACTTGAATCGCTGCCAAGTATTTACCTGTGTAGTCAGCATAAAAAACGTAGGTCTATCGTATTTTTTTTTTTTGCACACGGCCCCCCTCACAGGTGATGCAACAGGTATAAAAAGGTAGGTCAAAGGTGCACACGGCCCCCTGACTTGAATCGCTGCCAAGTATTTACCTGTGTAGTCAGCATATTTTTTGCACACGGCCCTAAACAAACTTGACTCGCTGCCAAGTATTACCTGCGTAGTCAGCATAAAAACGTAGGTAAAACGTGCACTCGCCCCACAGCAGGTATATAAAGCAAAAAACTGTAAAATTTGACAATCAGTCTTGCTTGACACTTCGAACTTGACAGACTTAAAAAAAAAAAAAGTGGTCAAGTCAGAGGTATGGAACCAAGGTATAGGTGGCTTATTGAGAATACTGACAAGAATGGACCCTGGATGGAAACCCTAGAAGAAGCCAGGGAGGATTACCATAAAACCCATTCAGAGGAATCTAATCAAAAACCATGGACTTATTGGGAATACTGTAAACAAATGTGGGGCTTGGATATGATGATTCCGGAACAATCTAAAGAAAAATGTCAACAATCTAAACAAAAAGTATGGTTGGAAAAAAGAGTGA